CTTTTCCCAGGGCAGATACATCGGGGAAAAGGCTGTACCTAGCCTTTTCCTTAGTGGCCCTTCAAGTTCCAGGCTCCCTTCAAAAACGGGAGCCTAACAGTTACCTCTGGCAGATTCTGCCAGAGGTAGCACCACGTGAGGACAAGTGTCCTCACACAAAATAAAGAAAAGAAAAAGAAAAAAAAACTTCCTAATTTTTAATGCACCTGGCTTTTTCTTTGGCCAGGTGCATGCTATTGCATGCAACAACCCTCCTTTTTTTTTTGCTCTGCCCTCCCCTGAAAACGAGGAGGGCAGTTGTCAATTTGGGAGTAGGACCTCCTTCTCTCAACTGCCTCCTCCTCCCTCTCTTGCCCTCTCTAGCCAGCTCCCTCAGCCCCATCCCCATGTGCACGTCGTGAGCCGCGAGATCTTGGATCTCGCGGCCACAAACTTTTGTGGCTTCGGAGTTGGGGGGGGTTGGGTTGTTCCCACACAGCCTGAAAAAGGTTGTTCTTTTGCCAGCCACGAGGTAAGTTATCTCGTTTTGCTTTGTCTTTTTTTTTTTTTTTTTACAGTTTTTAGTTTTGGTTCGTTTTTAGTCTTTCCCCGTTTTTTGCCTTGCTGGTCGTGACATCAACGGCCACGAATGGGGAGGGAGAAAACAAAACAAAAAAAAAAAAACCAAAAAAAAAAGAGAAACAACCAGTGAAAAAAACTTACCTGAACAGTATGGCGGCCGTAGCAACAACAGTGGACTTGGCCACTGTCTGTGGGATGTACTTTCCCGCGTTTTGGCGGGAGATTCATTCGATTTTGCTCATCCTAGACTGTCGGGGTTCAGCCTCCTGATGAGTCGGTGGAAGTCCGACGAAACAGTCTTGCACAGTCCCTTACCCCCTCTCTCTCTAACTCTCCTTCTCTCTCTCTGTGATACCGTCGTCGTTGGCCACTAGAAAACGTCATGCCAACCCTCACGAACTGGAAAACCACCCTGAGCGTGTGCAGAAAGTCCCTCAGAACTCGAGTACAAGGTCACAAGACCCATGCCCGAACGTAGCCACCTTGTGCCAATATATGCACTCGATTTTTCTCCTCTGTCGAGGTAGCAGAGCGTTCGCAAAAACGAACAGGCATTTACCAATTTCGTGAAAAAAAAAAAAAAAAAAAAAAAAAGAACAAAAAAAAAAAAAAAAACTAAAAAAAATATAGCTAAAAAAAAAAAAAAAAAAAAAAAAAAAAAAAAAAAAAAAAAAAAAAAAAAAAAAAAAAAAAAAAAAAAACAAACAAACGGAGGAACTTATTTCTGGCAGAAAAAACTGTCACCCGTTTTCACGGGCGACAGTAAAGTGCACTGGGACTTGAATGGCCCAGTCATTCCTCATTGCGCCATCTGGCGCAGTTCGTTTCTTCCCTTTTTTTTTTTTCTTTTTTTTTTTTTGTCCGGTAATAATAAAACCGTTGGCTTATGCCAACGATTACTGTTATGTGCCCTCAGGCACATCTTCTGGCGCCAAGTGGCGCTGTTATAGCTTTTCTTTATCTATATTTTTATTTTTGCTTTTATTTATTTATTTATTTTTCTCGATTTATACATGTCATCCTTATGCAAGGGGCCATGCAATCTCGGCGCGACTGATTTTAGCCGCACGATCTCGAAGATCGCATGACCGAAAATCGATCGCGCCCACCCTCACGTCGTGGGCTGCTCCCAAAAGGAGCTAGCCCGGTACTGTGGCTGGTCAGCTTCGATCCCTGTGTCTGCAGGGCAATAGTCTCGCAGAGGTACCTACTGGGCTAGCTCCTTCTTACATCGGGAAAGGAGCAGCCCTTCTATATGAAGGGCTTCCGGTGCCCAGCAGGCCTCCTTCCAGCGCCTAGCAGGCTGTGCCTAGCAGGCGGGGTCGGCAGTCGACAACCTTAGCAGTTGCCCTACCCTGCCGGCCTCAATGCCATTGGCCCCGGTCCTTGTCGCAAAGTCCCGCGGACCCTAAAACTATTCCTTCATGATGCGGTCCCAGCCTTGTCGCAGTGATCCCTTTATAGCCTGCTTAGGCCCTCAATTGCGCGGCTGTAGAATAGGTTTACTTTAACGTTCCCATCTTCGCACGTCTCTGTGCAAGCGACAAGCGAGACCTTGTCATTCACATCCACTTCTTCTAGACGCCACACGCGCTCATACCAAAATTCAAAAACTTCTAATCTTCCAGTCATAGGTCAGGTCAGAATAACTTTGGCAACGTCAGTCTCATGAAGTCCTTCAATTCAAGAAAAAAGTCGGCCATCGTCCGACGTTCAAAATTCCCGACAAATACCCTTGTCAGGGTTTTTGCCCCGACAGCATTCCCAAACCCCATTGAGCGACGTCCCCGTCGTTCACCCTATATTAATCAATAACATAGGGCTGTCTGGATTCTTACGAAACTCTCTGAAAAAAATTGGCAACAAAATCTCTTTTAATCGAAAAAAAATTAGCCAAAGCTTATAACCAAAATCCGCGTCATTTCCTCGGTAGTCTAAAATCCAATTATCCTTGATTGGAATGGTACCCGATATAGACTCTGGCAAGCCTTTCACCAAAACCTGAATTTTTATACCGGATCAAATTCCGGAATCACTAAAATCCAAGGAACTTTGTCTAAATGGTCCCAGCATCATCCCACTAGCGGCAACTAATCTCTCAGAATGATACCGAAAAAACTTTTGACTATCCTTCTAAACCGAGTTGGCTAATACATTTATTTATCTAAAAAAGTCAGGTTTGACCCCCTGACGGGTCTTTCAAAATAACCTCCTGGTTGGCTCGGACAGAATCCGAACCAAGCATACATGAGAGAAACCATCTATCAAAAATCCTTATCAAGGTTTTGTATCTCACTCCAATTACGAGTCATCACACATAATATTTTTCCTGCATGCCTTGTGATATGCATCGAGGAGTGGTGTAATCCTCAAAGGATAACATCTCGACGTCAAGCCCCTCATTAGACTCGAGCTGCACCACTTTCCCTTCGATTCCGGTGTCATGTGTTTGCTAGTCCCCTACCTGTGAGGTTGAACTACCCCTTCTCTATGACCTAGGCTGGTCAGACCCGATCATAGAGGCGAGGCGACCCCACCCGTCACAAGGCCAAGGTGACCACTCCTTTCCCCATGGCGAGCGGCAGTCGTCACCCTCACAAGCACGATCCCAATAGTCACAATAATACCTTCCTCCCTTTCAATGATAGTGTAGCCACCCTCCTTAAAAAGGAAAAGTGACAACATCCCATTTTGGACCAGGAACAAGGTTCCGGCGTAGGCCTCACTACCATCTACGGAGCTCACTGCATCAGGACTCATCATAACATGATAACTAAAAACATTACGAAAGTTTTAGGCTATGATAAATAATTGCAGTACATGCCTTGGCGAATACCACACGAGCTATCCTACAAGTCATACAATGCAATTTACATATCATTGTCCTTAAACTTTTTACAACGAGAATATACATCAAATAACAACATACACTTTCACACAAAGTTCCATAACATTCCAGTCCAAAAATATCCATAAATCCGCATTGCATTGCATTACATCAAAAAAAGTGATAAGCATTCATCCAAAATTACAAATCGAAAGACTTTCAGTCCATTCGAAAAACCCGCAACACAATTCTGCGAACAGAAGTCGTATAAATTATTCATTATTACAAAACATGGATCCATAGGCCCCAAAACCAAATCCAAATCCAAAACGTCCATAGGTACTATTCCCCTTGTTCGGCCTCAGTTAACAGTCAGCAACTAATGATCCCAAGTATAAAAAGAAATTAAACGAAGAAAGGCAAGTCCCCCGTTATCAAACATTTACACTAACCGAAAACCCCTTTATTAAGTCATTGGAATAAACTTTCTCAAATGCGATCCTGACACCCAATTTCTACCTCGAGTCCTATCCATCTCTTCGATCTCATAAGCTCCATGCTCAGATCTCTTAACAATACGATAGGGTCCCAGCCATCGGCTGTCCAATTTATGAGACCATTGTTTTTCCAAGGACGAATCATAAAGAAGAACAATATCCCCGACTTCCAAAGGTTCTTTACGAACACGCGGCCCCTTATCCCATCTTTCCTTGTCGGCCTGTCTACTCTCTGCAGTAGAGGCAGCGGCCTCCTCAACTCTTTCCTCGGTCACCATCACCTGTCTCGCCCTCAATTCCAACAACTCTTCCGTTGAAAGCTTCGTTTCCACATTCTGCTTTCGCCAAGCAGATAGAAAACTTTCGATTGGAAAAGTTGCATGCCGCCCAGACCACAATGTGACTGGAGCGTATCCAGTTGTCCGCTTTATGGTGACATTCTCAACAAAGAATGTCGTTCTCAGATATATTGGCCATCTCGATGGATCATCCGTGCACCATTTTGCGAACAGATTTGTTAGAGTGGCATGTCCACGTTCAACTGGCGCATTAGGTTGGGGAACCCTTGTAGTATAGCTAAAGCTTACTCCAAGTTTTTTCAAAAGCGCTTGCACTTCCCCAGCTCGAAACTCACCGCATCGATCCATGACAAATTCCCGGACAAGCGGGTACCGAATATAATATTCTTCGATGCATTCTGTTAAAACATGCCCAGTATGCTCGCGAATGGCACATCCATCAACGAAACCAATCAGATTATCCCTTGCATTGAAGATATATCTGTACCTATTAATCCTAGGTGGCATAACCAATAGATCAAGGTGTACTACTGCTCCTGACTTAGCCACATAACGTGGATTAAGAGGTTCAACAAAACGCAGATTACATCGCCTTTGGCAAGGAAGACAAGATTTACAGAAGTCATTTACCATCTTGTTCATTCCTTCCCAAAAATAAAGATGTTGAATCTTTTTCAAAGTGACTCGTGTCGATCTATGTCCGCCTGCGACCCCATCATGCAAAGCTGCAATTACATCAAGTTGTCGCGCAACCCCACATACTACTCTCTTCGAAATACCATCGTTGGACTTCTTAAAAAGATGACCATATCGTACAACAAAATCCTTACTCTTCTGGCGAACAACTGGATCCACCTCATCCTCCCTCAACTCGCCATTCAACCACATTTTCATTAATCTATACTCCCCATCATACTCTCCTTCCCTGAAAGCTTCTCTGATCTCGCTGCCTTCTGCTTCTTCATTCATCATCTTCAGGCGGTCCTCGTAAATTAGAGAATTCACAAGGAAAGACATTTCCCCAGCGATCCTCAACGTCTTATCAACTTGCTCGTGCCCATACTCAATTGTCAGCGGCTCTTTGATAAGCTCGACTTCATCAAATAAAGCCAAGCTCATCATTTGCTCTGATGTCCTTTCACCCCATGGGTCTTCCTCAATAAATGGCTCCCCCATCACTAGCTCAGGCCGCACATGATGGAAGCTAGGAGCATTCCAAATAGTCTTCCCATGTCGAGCAACTGCATCCGCCAAGTAAGCATACGAGTTGATACTTAATTGTGACTCTTCTCTCTCCAAGAACCCATCCACAGGGACAGAATCCTTAGCCTGATCCGTCGACGAGTCCCAGTCAACGCGACTCGAACCATTTGCGCGATTGTGAGTGCTTGAAATACGTTCAATTTCAAAATTGAACATCCAAATGTATGTCAGCCATCGAGCAATGGTTGGATCGGAAGGAGGATAGTTCTTCAACGATTGAGCCAGAGCCGTAGAATCGACTCGTAGAATGAACCGCCTGCCAAGTACATAATTCCTGAAAATACGCAGACAGTGAAGCACAACGAGAGTTTCCTTCTTGAACTGGGAGTAATTCCTCTCAACAATAATCAAGAGTTCTACTTTCGAATCTCAATGGTCACTCCCGTCCTTCCCCATCCTTTTGAATCAAGACTCCTCCCAAAGCGGTAAGGCCTGCATCAGTCTCGATGATGAAAGGACGACCTTCAACATCATCAAAATAAGGAACTCCCAAAATCAGGTTGCCTTCTCGAAATTCAGCTTTAATATTCTCAACGGCCGCTTGCTACCTCGGTCCCCATTCCCAGATCTAATTCTTGCGTACTAATTTTCGCAAGTGTTCCACTCTCGCTGCGAACTTACGGATAAAAATACGCCAAAATCCGCAAGTTCCAAGGAAGCTTCTCACGTCAGTAATTGATCTAAAGGGAGTCGGTCACTCCAAAATCTTATTTGTCTTTTTGGCATCCGACCGACGACCCGTTTCATCACAAAGGAACCCCAATATTCCCGCCTTCCTCATACCATGCCTTGATTTAACCCCACTTGCAGTGAGGTTATACTCCTTCAATTTCTTCAGAACCTTTTCCACATTGTTGATGTGTTCCCATACGAACTTCCAAACGCCGGGTAACACCTCAGTCTCATCCTTAACTCGAGGTCCTGGGATGGCCAAGTCATCGATATATGGAGGGGTCACATCCAGACAAAGCGGTTGCATGACTCTCATCATATATCTCTGCACAATTGCCACGACATTTGTCGGACCCTGTGGAGCCGCGCACATATTAAGCAGTCCCCGAGGCGTATGCATCACCATCATAGGTCGATCCGCTATGTACAGTGGGAACTGATCATACCCTGAATATGAATCAATTAGGGTGATGATGGGCCTGCCTGCACAAGATTCCGAGTTGGTCGGCGTTCGGAAGTCCGCCCGCATCTCGGACTGTTACAAAATTCAACTTTTGCAGGTCCTGAACCCATCGCAAAACACCGTTCGGCTTGATAAAGCAGAACCAAGGAGACGCATATGGCCCATACGAATAGTCAGCCACTTTGGTCCGAACCTAACCATCAAGATAATCAACCACCTTCTGGTGATCGTCTGAATTCGGATATCGTGGACCTTTTACATTCCATGGTTGATGCGGTACCGTATGGATCCGAATCATCGTAATCATATCGACGTTCAGCCTTCCACGCTCATCACCATCAAAGGCATAAGCCAGATGAATCTTCTTCATAACGCCGATAAAAAATTGGGTTTCCTCCTAGTGAGGAGGTCATTCTCTCCAATGATCATCTCCTTGATCCTGTCATGTGTTAACCGACACAGCCCCCTCTCACCTTTCTTTTTAAACGTTCTGATCCACTCACGTTCTTCCTTATAATACACCTCCTTTTCCTGAGTGATCAGAACTGGCACTGGTCGAACCTTCTCTCCTACGTTCTTATATTCCCTCTTTGACCCAACGTTGAGCCTCCGTCCCGTAAAAAAGGCTCTTGCCTTGCGGATGGCAAAGACTCCTTTGCATGAGAATCATTTGGCCGATAGACGAGGTGCATGGTCCTCGCACCCCTTTCGTCGGCCACAACTTCCATCAAGGCCTGTACCTGGTTTGGATCAATCCCAGGATGGGTTGATACAAAATCGATTGCTTGCGAGATTTCTGGCAATGTCAATGAAAACTCCTGAGGATCTCCTTCTTCCTCCATCGCCTTTTTCTCCCTCCTCAAGTTCTTTGACCCCGAGAAGGTATATGATTCAGAATTTAGTCGGTTCCTTGAATTTTCCGGTCTGGTATTCGCGCACCTCACTACTTCATAGTAGCCACAAACCGGATCGCACAAAGCCACAAACATGGTACCATCATGTTTGTTGAAGATTATGTTCTCCGTGCGACACTGAAATGATCTTCCCAAAAGCACTTCGTGTTCCACCTTTGGTAAAATATAAAAATACGATCTCGCCTTGACCTTCCCGACCGTCACCATTACGCCACTAGTTGTACCGCAAAATGGAGTTGCACCGCTGGCTCCAACCAAAAATCCAAAATCATTGCGATTGATCGGTATTCCAGCCTCAATCTCATGTTTCTCGCTCATGATATTCATTTCAGCCCCGTCATCTACAAGCGCAGAAAACTCTCCACGACCGATTTGAACTTTTATAAGACCAGTGGCTACACATCGCCAGTCCATCTTTGTTCCAGGAGGCGCCCAGTTAGCTTCCGGAGGAACGATCTCACTTAACTTAACTGTCATGACTTTCTTTCGAGTCATGCGCTGCTTAAATTCCTCGCGGAGCTTTGACGAAACAACCAGAATCTCCTTCAGAGTAACCAAATCGCGTTGACTTTCCAAAATACGGTCCACAAGCTGTTCAAAATCAATCCCTTTTTCCATCGGGATTGTGCATACATTACATCCTCTGCACGCAATCTCTCATCCTCCTCCTTATCTCCTTCCTCTACTTGAAAGTTCCTCTTCCTGAGGTCCCTTTGAACTCTCCCCTCGCGCAGGTTGCGATTGCGAGATCTTCCTTCCCTTTCGCGTTTGTACAATAATAGTTGGTGTCCCTCGCTTGAGCACAGGTCTGGACATCACCATTGGCCGAGCCATCGACGTTGTTTCAGGTGCCGAAGCGGCCGCAGGTGCTGATCCATCCTGACCTTCGTTTCCCCAACCACCAAAGAGGAACACATTTGGAAGGTTGGGCCAAACTTCTTCCATGTCAACGCATAAGCGAACAACGGAATCCCGACACTTGCCCAATTTTATGGTCACTTCTCGTGCCCGATGAGTAATGTCTTCCTTCTTTTTCTCCAATTCTTTTTCCTCATAGTCACCAATTTCCAAAGAAGCCATTGTCTCTTCCAATTCAAAAAGACTTACTTCTTCAGGACAAGCTAAGCGGAATGTAGCCGGAAGAGGACGACTCATCCGTCGAAAAGCCTCTTTTCTCATCCCTCCTTCAAACTTTTCCCCGAATCGTCGTAAAAACGATCTGGTCCTTCTCATCCTTGGCGAGGATCTGGCAGAAAGTGTCCTTTCATATCACAATATTTGCAGACATAGTCCTGCCATTTCCCCCGTCTGCTACCGTTTCCGCGGCCTCTACCACAGCCTCGACCACCCTATGGCCGAGCCAGCTGGCCTTGGCTTTGATGCGCTTGGCCAACTTGCCGCTCACCGTTTCCATTTCCTTAGTATTTTCCCCTCGTTTACGAGAAGTACCTTGTCCTCCTCGTATCTGGTTCAAAGCTTTCCTCTCAGCCTTGGTCAACTTTCGAGGAGGTTCTTTTTCCTCCTCACCGTCACTTTCACTGCTACTTTCTTCAGTAACTGGCTCCTTTCCTTTTCTCTTCCCTGTCCTTGCCTTGGCCATCATCACTTGGAGCTTTAGTTGCTCCTCCTTCATGTTGGTCATCATTTCCTTCATGTCTGATAAGGTCTTATAGACCTCCTTGTCCTTATCTGCTATCAAGTGTACCCTCTCTCGATCCTTCTTCTGCTGCTTCAACAACCGATAGATAATCTGGTCAAAGTTCCTGACCAGCAAGTTCTCTCGAATTTTCAGCCAGTCATATCGTCCCTGCATCCCTCTCACCAGTTTTCGCTGCTCCACTTCCATGAAATTATCCAGAAAGATAAGACAACGATCCTTGTCTGGGAGGTCAGGAACTAACCGCGCCACCCGCTCGAATTCAGTAAGAAACTGCTTTGTCGTTCCAAAGTTCCGTCGACTAACCTTCCTCAAATCCGCTAAGTCCAACAGTTGAACTCTGGCCAGTCCCGCGAACCTCGCACCAATTCCTCCACCTCATCCTTATACTCGACCTTGCAATATCGTTTTACCATTCGCAACATCTTCTCATTGGACCATTCACAACAACTCCCAAACTGTTCAAACTTGTCTGCCCATCCCGAGGCGTTGTTACCATCAAATAATGGAACATCAACATTCGGGATCTGCTCCTCCTGGGACTGTTGAATGACTCTCGAGAGTTCCCGAATATCATTCCTTCTCTCATCCTGATTGTCGTTGTTATCAGACATCTTGAGCGAAAAAAAAATCAGAATAACACATTCAATCATAAATCAATCAACCTTTTCATTAAATCTCATAATTTTCTCTTCCCCCTTCCTTTTCTTTCTTCCTTTACTTTTGCGATCAAATTACTGATTTTTCCTGAGGTCAAACAGAAAAGAAAATAACTTTCCACTCCATCAATTACCCAAGTGTCGTTCCGCTGGGGACAACGGTAGTTTGCCATTATCCCCGGCAACGGCACCACCTGTCGAGCGCATCGGCCCTCGCGCGAAACGAAGACCCTCCCGTCCATATCACGCATGAGATTAAACACATAATACTTCCAAGAGACAACTTGGGAACGACGTATGACATTCCGCGGACTGCCGAGACGGACGAGGTTGCGTCGCTCCTTCGTCGCTCTAGCCGGGTGCGCCAGCTATACATCTTGCGGTCCCCTACGACAAAACAGGTTTTCGCGGGGCATAAGCTTGCTTCCCTAAGGGGTTGTCACCACACTTAGGGGCGTATCCCTACCGAGCTACTGACCCACATGCGAAAGCTTTTACATGCAATCGCAGAGGTAGATCAGCCGAGGGCGTTTGCTCGTCTCGCTGCAGTATAGGAAATGATTGGTTAACGTCGAGTGAACCCGAATGTCGTTCGTTCCTTGGGGCATTGATCTCCCAATTACGAAGCGTACGCCGATCGACTAGGACAGTTCCAACCAAGCGTGAAACTCTCAGATACAATCCTAGTCCCCAGTAATCATTTAAAAAGAACCAAAACAACAAAATCCACTTTCCTTAAAACAAAATCACACTTATCCAAATCATTGACTTGACGAGCTGGTCTGCCAAAGAGTTTCTCTTCGACCTGTATGACTTAAGAACTTTTATATTGTCATTCCAAGACTATTAATTGAGGAAAAGAACTAGGACTGACCTTCCTATCATCACTATGGAAGTTCGTCATAAATAACTTCTGCAAGCAAATACCACTACTACCATACAGATCACCAAGTGATCTGGTTCCTCATCGATGTTTGAACTCTTGGTTCGACCATATTTCTGTACCATATGCTACTACTTGGAGGAGCGAATGGAATTTTGTTGGTCGCTTTGTCCTCCTAGACAATACTTACTCTTTCTGTTCTACGAATGATGGAGCATCCATCTACAACACCAAGTTACCCGACATAGAAGTGTTCCACCTCCCGCTGCTTTGTCATCGTCATTACGCTTAACAACTTTTTCAGACGTTCGCTTTTCACCTTAATCAGCTTATTTGTAAGCGATCGATTACTTCTCAATGCATAAGCACGATATTGAAATCATCGGGGTAATCCGAATATTAACTACATGGAGTGTCTTTGTTCTGTTTTCGAGGTTGTTTTCGAGATTACCTCGTGAGCTTATTTTTAAGCGATCAATTCATAAGCATGATAGTGAAATCATCGGGGTAATCCGAATACTATCCATCCGGCGGTCCTAACTACATGGAGTGTTTTTGTTTTTGTTTTTGTTTTGTTTTTGAGATTACCTCGTGTGGCTTCCTCGACGGGATAGTCTATGTGAAGGGGGTTTTCTGGAATCTGAATAAGATTTTCAAAAAGTGGCCTCTGACCCTGGTAAATCTATCGTTCTCTGCGCACCTGTGCCTCCAACAAATCCAAACGTGCGCGCTCGTTGTCGTCAAGAACCAGGCTTGTCACTCGCCTCCTTCGCGTGACTCTAAAAATTTGAGTACCATACTGGAAGGCCATCCGTGAGGCTAGTCTCCACACTATGACTCGGAAAGGCCAACTGAGTCCAAACAAGTGTCTGGTCTCAGTATCCCGGATCTGGATGATGCCGAAACGCCTGCCGGACGAGGTAATCATGATACTCACAATGACTCGAGAGAGAGATTGGAGATTACTCGCGCGGTGAAAATACAAGGTATACTTGAAAAACTCATCATGAGTCCGGGTCGTATTTGCCCGGAAATCCGGAAATCCGCGAGAGTAGTGGGAAAAAATCCCTCGCCGTTTCGTAATAATCCGATAAAGCCGATTCACTCATGTCCTCATGTGTGTCGCGAACCGTCTCGAACTCGTAAAAGTTGCTCCGCTCCTCTGATAAGATCGTCCTCATGTGTGTCGCGAACCAGCACGTACCTCGGGGTCGTCAAATCTCGCCGTGCTCCAAGTATCTGTGTGTCAGAACAGAAATTACATTAGTCACGTAACCCTTCGTCGAGTTCGTCCTCCTCATCCTGCCATGCATACTCAGAGAAACTATGTGTCCGAAATCGGATTCAACGAGGGTTTTGAGTTGAACGGTTAAGCTCCCGTTCAACTCCCGTTCAACTCCCGTTCAACTCCCCTTTCAACTCCACGTTGAACCGAGATGAACGTGGTACAACTCGACCCGCGGATTTTTTTTTGCAGGCAAAACATAAGTGAAAAAAAAAACAAAAAACAAATGGGGGTGTAGATTTTTTTGCTCCCTACATCCCCATATTTTTATTTTTATTTTTTGAGCATGAAAATTATTTTTCAAAAATCAAAAACAAAACCAGACTCAAAACAAATAGATTTTTTTTCTTTTTTGATTGATTGATTGATTGATTGATCGGTGGGGAATGGGTCGCCCCTCCCACTCCCACCCAATCACACACACACACACACACACACACACACACACACACACATACACACTCACTTTCTTTCGCCCAAGTTGCCCGGGAGAGGACCCCGCGCAACTTCGGCGCAAGTGAGTGTGTGTGTGTGTGTGCGTGTGTGTGTGTGTGTGTGTGAGAGAGAGAGAGAGAGTGATTGGGTGGGGGTTGGGGGGACGACCCATCCCCCACCAGTCAATCAATCAATCAATCAATCAATAAAAAAACAAAAAGGAAAAGTGGGGGTTTTCCC